GAGAGGGAGGGAAGGAGGAGGAGGAGGAGGTTTCAAAATGCCCAGCAGAAGAACAACATCTTCCATCCTCATCCCTCCCTCTCCTTCTCCTCCTCCTCTTCCACCACCACGGCCTCCTCTTCGTTCACGCCGCAAATCCAAGTCACCCTCATCCCGCTCCAACCACTCAACCCCAAAACGAGCCTTGGATTTGGATAAGATCGCGGCCACCCCTGACCGAGAGGACAGCAGGCAAACCCGCAGAGGGTCCCGAGACCTCCGGGGCTCCCAGGGTTCAGAGCTGGACAGGAAGTGGGAGGGTGTGGCCTTGGAGCTGCGTTGCCGTGGCAGCAGGATGAGGTCGGCAGTGTACCAGACTTCAGACTTGCCCTCTATGGTCAAAGCCAAGAGACAGTTGGAGCAGAGTGAGGGCAAAGGGCAGATAGACCGGAGTAAATTGAAAGCAACGTTTGTTTGAGGAGCTCAGTGTTTATAGTTGACTCACAGACAGTCTGACCTGCTGATGTGGTCTCTGCAGCAGCTGAAACATTGTCTAGGTTTCAAATTGAGACGAAGGGCCCGGTGTCAACAACTGCGCAGCTGCTCCCAGTCTCACTACCGGGGGTTCTTTGAGGAGGTGGCAGGCTGAGATTTATCAAATGTTGTGTCCCAGTTCCATACTGCATATTCATTCTCATGTACTGTGTTTATTTTCACAGCTATTATTACTATATTGGCTACAGATTAAACATTTCCAAACAAAACATAATTGTCCTATAAAATTTAATCCATGCTTAACTCGACCAGCTCCAACATACAACAAAATGCTTCTTACAGGTTAATGCATCTATAATAATAATTCAATATCATATTATTTAAAAACCTCAAAAACATTTTTTACAGTACCAGACAAACGCTTGGGCATGCTTTCTCATGGGAAAGTGCGTCCAAATTTTGTTACTTTTGACTAGTTTGACTGATGTCCCTCATTTATATATTGTATGTTAAATGCAAAAACAGTATATCCAACTATAGTTACAGTAAGTAAGTAAAATGTATTTATATGGAGCTTTTTACAGACATATGTCCAAAAGTGCTTTACAGAGGCAATGTACAATAACGAGAGCACAACAGGGAATGTACAACATGACATGATCTGTGATTTAAAGGGGCACTCTAGTGATTTAGTGGTCCACTGCTCTTCCATAAGAGAGAGAACTTGCCAATAGGAAACACTCAAAGCAGCAGAGGCTGAAATGTTCTGACTTTCAGTCTTCAGTATGGCTCAAGGCAAGAAGAAATAAATGTTGGATCCTACATTTCCCATATTATACACATACATATATACACTATCTTTCATTAGACCCTACCGTCTGGTAAATATCCACATCTGTCAATCTCCACAACCGCAGTCTGCAACACAGATTGCCTGATAAGTCCAAGCCACGGGTTATTTTCTCCTCCTGAGCCACAGGAGACATTATACAGTTTTCACAGGCTGAGCAGTTCTAACCACAGCAACCAACCAAGCTCATCTTCATCTGTGGTGTGCCTCTTTTTAAAGAGGTGGACAAAACAATAACTGTAGCAATATTATAGTCAGTTTTTTTCATAAACAAATTAACATGTAAACCACTTAAATTACCATTAGGAATTGTCAGCTGTCTGCATTATTTTAGGCAACATAGTGAAGAATATACATTGAATTCACCTGTTATTCCAGGAATAAATGCCTCTGAATTTACAGAGGCCTTGGAAGTAATACCACCCCGCAAAACATCCAGTCCCGAGTCAAGTGCCGTGGTCAAGACCAGGGCAATGCAAGGATTTATATTACACGGAAGCTTACTGCTGTGAGACAAATCAGTACAACCAAAACCTGTTCTGTCCCCCTTTTGCCCTCACGATTTGCCTCAGTGGACACATGGACATATCATGTTCACACAATAAAGTATTTTCTTGACAAGTAATCTTGTATAATCGATTATTTATTGTTGCGGATTTGAAGCTGTTTTGCTCATTTTACATTCCTTAATTGGCTTTATTCTCCAGCCAGCTTTTACAGATTAAAATGGCTTTCCACTGACGGAGCTGAGGCTCCACTGATCTGCATTAAGGCAACATGAATCCCTGTCTAACCCCCGGCCAAGAGCCAGCCTTATGAGTTAAGTGAAAGGTGCGCGAGTTATGTGGTTTTAATCGAATTAGCTCCATTGTAAACAATAAGCACTTGACGCAGGATGACAACTGTACTAACTAACGTGGTAGGAGCCCGCGGGGGGAGGCTGCTGTCTCTGCCCGCCAAGGTGGTCTGATTGTCGGGGAGAGAGTTGAGTCAGCTGGCGGGGCCTCGGCAGTAAAAGCTATTTTGAAATGTGACCTCTCTCTCTCTCTCTCT